CCCCAAAACCCCAAAACCCCAAAACCCCATCAAGCAAGTAAACTATAGCCAAGACTAATTATATAAATTAAAATCAAATATAAATACTTTTAAAAGATCAATGAGTGTCAAAAGACCAGCTTAAATTAATTAGCAAAATGCATAGTCATAATAATTGCTAACTCCATTAGAAGATAAAAAACTGTTACCAAAAAATGAAACCAGTTTAGAAAATAACTAAGGAAAATCAAGGCAGAAAGCAATTAAGGCCATTGGGTAGAGAAATAAATCATTGCCTTAACTTTCCCCCAGAGCTAAAGATCTAGCTGAAGTTGATATTGGAAAGAAAATGACTCTTAATAACTTAAGAGAGCACATTGAACACTTCATTAGTGAAATAGAGGATGATCTCTATCAAGTTGAGGTGCAGGATCCAGATGGAGGAGATGAAGAATACAGAGGTCTTTTCTATAATGAATAATCAAAGCAAATTGTAGAAACTTTGTTAGAGAACAATAAAAGCATGGTTTTAAAAGTTTCAGAAGTAGCTAATGCTATCGCAAAAGTAGCCCAAAAGCTTAGTTTGATTAAATAATAGTAGCAAAAAGACATTGATAGAGAACATAAAGAAGCAAATCCTGATTTAAAAGAAGCTGATCAGCAGTTATAATCAGCATAGTTACAAGCAAGAGCACTATAGCATTAACTAATGAAAGTTAAAGATCACTATAATAGCTTAGGAGAGCAGATAGACAAGAAGAGGCACCTAGAAAACTAATTAATTGACTTAGACAGGCAAAAAGCTTAGCTATTAGATGTTATCTAATCACAGCAAAAGTATTTGACTGAATCCTCTTAGATTCTGAACGGTTCATCATAGGCAGTTTCATAATAAACAAAATTGGAATCTGTCAAAGATGAGATAAAAGAGTTAAAAAAATAATTCAGATAACTGTCAACTTCTATAAGAGAGAAAAAACCCGAAAAAATGCAAGATGAGTTTCAGTAAGTCGTTGATGTTACAAAGATGCAGTAATAACTCAAACTTACTATTGATATTATTAAAAGAGGAGTAAGAGTGAGATAGAGCTAGCAAACCGAGAGGACTAAAAAGGTAGTCGCAACAGAGTAATCCCCCTTAAGAATTATAAATAGAAGCAAAATTCCACCAACAATTGATGAAGAAATAGTCATTAAAAAGAAAAACTTAGGGCTCATAAATAAGGTCAACTAAAGTGGGATTATAGATTACTAAAACAAGTTGAAGTAAATAGAAAATTAGATAACTGAAAGATCTAAACTAATTGATCAATATAATTCAGAGAATAATGAGCTAGCTAGTGAAATAAAGCTTCTAACAGATAAAATAGATCCAAAGAATTTAGGTATCATGTAAGTTGGTGCTAGTCTTCAAAATTAAAGACTATATGGAGAATAAGAAAATGCCAAGATCATAATCTTTAAGAGAAATTATTCAAGACCTTAGAATAGGCTAGAATCCGGTACTTCTCCAAGTAAAGTAAGCGAAGTTAATAAAAGTATAGATTTTCTTGCTCAAAGAAATGGTAATGAGAAAATAGTTAAGTCTAGATTCCCCAGTATCTCTCAGCAAGATTCAAAATTTAAGAATGGAATACTAGCTGTCAATTAGTCTATGGATTTCAGATAGATTTAAAGACATCAAGATGATTCAGAAGAAGAAGATGCTGATGACATGTCAGCCTATCAAAATAAGAAGGACCAATTTATAAATGCTGAGAGGAATAATTTCAGAAAATTATAGAATGCTAAAATGGCTGTTAAGGCAATAAGAAATCAATAATAGATAAATAGTGATAAACAGACTGAGCTTTCTAAAACTAAGACACAAAAGAGAAGTTCTCATGTCAGTCCATCTCAAAGTAAATCATTTGCCAGATCAGATATGGAGACTCTTGAAAATAACAATAACAATCAGAGTATTAGCATTAATAATCAATCTATAGAGAGGCAATCTAAACCTTAGCTTGAAGAGAGTCAAATAGAAGAGTCTATTATTGATAATAGTGCTGATCAGTATTCTAATCAAATATCCCCAGTTTAGAATAAATCTTATGAGGTTAAGACTGCTATTTAAAATGGAAAATTTCAAAGATGATATATCAATTAAGTTATGAGTAACATTTATTTATTATTTTACCTAAATCTTAAATTAATCTTTATTAGGGGTTTTGGGGTTTTGGGGTTTTGGGG